AAAGGCAGAGGCGACACGGTGTGATTATTTTACTGTAGTTGGGTTTTTTTTCTGTGTAATAATATTCAACATCGCTGTCAATACATTTTTCAAAAAATGCCTCTCTGTGCAAAACAGGTAAACAACTGTAGGATCCTGTTTGTCCGTGATTTGAACCGGGGGAACAAATCGTGGCAGGATCAGCCTGATGTTATTTGTATCCTGCTGTAACTTTACTGTATAAAGAGCTAACATCTCCAAAATGTCAGGAGTAATTAGTCATTACAACAAGTGTTTGTGAACTAAAAATCAAGAATGTGGGATACTGTTTGTCCGTGATATTAACAGCCCAGCGCTGCTCCCGACGCAGGGGAAACTAATTCTGTCGGGGAAACCTACCTCAGCACTTGTGCAGGTGAAACCAAAGGGAAGATTTGCTTCAACATATTTTCTAATCTTTGGCTTAGAATGAAGTTGGTTTGGAAACATATTCAGCGATGCTTCATCTCCTGCTTTGGGTTTCTGTGGGCGCCCCGTGATAGCAGTGTCCAAGCATCGGGGGGGTTTTTTTTCCTTGCCATGGCTCTGCGCCCCCCCCAGGCCCCACACTTTGGGAAGGTCTGGATTAGGCATGGATTTGTCTCCCAAAACATCCGGTCGAGTGGTTACAGTGGTCAATCATCCAAATAGTGAGGCTTTGTATGTATTAACACAGTATAGCAGTTGAACATACTATTAGGCTAGCGACTAGAATACAATACACATACCAAGAATACCTGTTCAATCAAAATTAACTTCACTTTGATGTGCTGAAAAACTGCAGTGATTTCCCTGTCTCCTTTATTAGGCTTTGGGATGATAACCTTTAATGTTTAAAGAATCTGCTCCACAGACGACATGTCAGTGGGATTGAAGAGGTCCTCAAAGAATTCCTTGTAACGCTTGACTATATCCTCAGTTGAAATCAGCAGCATTCCTCCTGCACTATACATGTTCTACTTGGCCTGCAGGTACCCCTCAGCTGCCTCCCACAGTCTATCGAGTGGCACTCAGCTGTTTCACGGGCAGCATTAGGGGAGGAGTCAGAGAGAAAGTCAGAGTTTGTTGAAGAAAACCTGCCAGTGAGCAGGTTTAGTTCACAGTCTGTTACCGTGGTAACTGACTCAGAGTGGAGGTTCACTTGCTTTCTTGAACAGAAAACCAGATTTGTGAGGTGCTTCCTGGGTTAGGGCCATTGTCTGTTGCTATCATTTTCAATCTCTTTGTTAATTTTCTAGTCTTTTTTAACGATAGTCTTAGCCTGATTGCTTTAACCTGGGTTCCACCAAGAAGGCGCCTAAAACCACGGTGGGCACCACCCTGTATAACCTGCTTAATAGTTTGAGATGCCAAACATAGCAGTGGCATTTAGCAGCTAACAAGGATGATATTTGCCCTAATTTTGAAGAGCATGTTCTGAGTCCCTATACCTTTTTGAAAATGCACTGAACACTCAACCTGAGGCTTTTACCATGACGTGAGTTCAACATAGCCAGTGTGTCATTCTGTTATCTAGTTTCACTTAACCTGATACTGGCAATCAGGATAAGCACCCAAATGAAAGGGCATCTTCCCAATTATTGATAAGGGTGTTGGCAACAGAGTGGCTGACTTTTTTTAGCTGAGGAGCATTATGATTCCATACACATTTTACCTGGGTAAGGGAACAAACAAGGCTATAAGCACCTTAGTAATTGGGCAGCATTCAATATCCTGCAGCAGCATGGGGGTACTGTGACAAAATACTAATAAGCTTTTGGAGGTGGGAGACGAAGACGAAGCCTGTTTGAGTTTCTAGTTACTAACTTGGCATGTGTTGGCCTCCTGGGAGGCAGTATTTGAAGAAAACAAATGCCTAATTTGTTTTTCTTCATCGTTTTTTTGGAGAGTGTTTTCTTCAGCTGTGGTATTTCAGGTATGTGGCTGTTTTAAAAGTAAATGGCCCGCATATTTAATTTTTACTGCATATAACTTCTGCACACGGAAATGAGTTGTCATTGCGGTTCAAGTAGTTTAGTAATCCTAGGAGTATAAGTAAAGAGGCTTACTATTAGTTTCATACGTTCCACTCTGGTAGTGTGCAAACAGCTAAGATATGATTGATGTGATTGCAGACTTTCAGCTTTAACCCTTAAGGACCCACAGTGACACTGGTGTCACTGCCCCTTTACACTTAGAGACTTGGTTATATATGATTCATTTGATATAAGACCCCCGTAATTTTCATGAAAGTAGAAATAGGTCTGGGCTCTTAAGGGTTAATTCAGTGGGTTTAACAAAACTTTTCAATTACAGTCTTTTGAATACACTGTACCCCATTTTCAGAGGCTCAAACTGTATGTATAAACAATTTTATATACATGGATTATTTTTAATAGCAGCGTGAAAATTATTTGAAGATAAAAAAACATGGAATACTTAAATTCTGTGTTTCCTCCCTTCAGTTGCTGCGTATTTGTGGTTCTCTCTGCCTTCAGTTTGTTCTTCAATTGAGAAAGTAAAATTAATGTTTTGGAATTGGATCAAGTTTTGTTCAGATACCTGTTTCCATTTCATCACGGACGTGGGTAGTCTGGCATTTGCTGGATAATCTTGACCACGGGAAGTGAAAGCACTATTACTGGACACTACAGTGACTCATTATTGCTTCTATTATATTGGCAATTACTTTCGTTTTTTAATGAAGGCACTTCCTAAAACAAGGGGCGCTCATACAACACAGGAGAATGGATTTGTAAGGGACTATTTGCAGTGAGGGCATATGTGAGAATAAATCCAAGTACACAGCAGTGTGTGCTGGTTGTAATGAAAGAGCATCAGTGAATCAGTGCAACAGACTGTCTCACTGATGCTCACTTTTGGACAACAGTAAAGTTCACTAGCACAGATTAATCAGATAATATCTATCAGGAAATGATACACACACTGCACACAATGCTCAGACTAATTTCTTTTTGGTTTGGATTATTTATTTTTACAATGTATGTACACAATACCGAGAAATATGACCACATTATTTTCTTTTGACTCGAGCCAAAGCATTAGTAAGCTTATATTACACCAGTTAATTTAAAACACTCTAATGAGCTCTGCTTTAAGAACAAATAACCTCTCCTACTACATATATTGGTTTCCTGTATTTTTCTCCACTGCTGTATAATATTTTGAAACCTGGGGAGCTGAGTGTCAGTGCAGATCTGCTGAGCTGGGTTCTTTTTTTTTCTTCATAAGCTCGACAAAATGCAGAGTTTCGGTGCAACAAACAGCTCTTTAAAATCAGGCAGCCTGCAAAAAGTTGCTGAAAGATGCAAGAGACGGTGGCTATAGTAGTGTCCATATGTGTACACAGGACCACATCTGCGGTGATTACAAGCACAACCTATACTGACTGTGGAAACTGCGCACACCATTTTTCTTTTCTTTTTTGATGGCGTGTGGTGCAGTCATAGTTAAGTAAGGCTTCTAATCTCCAGCAGCTTCTGTGGAGCTGTTCATTGACCATCAGCTGATTGGAATTGTTCCAGTAGGTGTTTGAGTAGGAGAACTATACGAGCTCTGTGTCTGATGATATGTCACTGTTCTTACCTCAATCTGAAGCAAGGCCTCCTCTCTCTGACGGAGCACCTCCACGTCCTCCTCACTGATCTCAGACAGGAAAGCCTGACCTCCTCCCTCTGTGCCTGCTCCAAACAGTGGACCCTCCTCTATCTGCTCACTGGATGGAGTCTGAGGACTCTGCGAGAGCAAAGACATTTTCTTTTATTAGATTTAAAAGGTAACAGCAAAAATTCAGACAGTGAGCAGTTACTTTGTCTGTTGCCTGGGAATACAAGTGCTCGGGTTGTTGATTAAGTAGCAGCAACTTATTATCACAGCAACTACCAGTTACTGCTGTCTTTTATCTCTCATCTTAAAATTCATGGACAATCCGACTCTGAGCTTGATGGGTTTTTTTAGTGATATGTGTCAGAATAAAATATAAGAACAGCAGTGAAAATATATTTTAGCTAAACATTATTACCCTCTATCGGCCCCAACCACTTTCAGCAGAAAGCTGCTCTTCTTGAACCTGGTTCTGTCTGAGGTTTCTTCCTGTTAAAAGGGAGATTTTCTTCCCACTGTCACCAAGTGCTTGCTCATAGAGGGAAAGGAGATTGCTATGGTTTTCTCTCTATTATTGCAGTACAATATAACAATATAAAACACAATAAAGTGATTGTTATTGTGATTTAGTGCTATGTAAATATAAATGCACTGACAAATAAAATCGATTAATTAATGTTACGTTTATGTACCTATTTATTATATAACCTACTTTAAGCTAACCATTAAATCAATTTCTTTTAGCAAACCTCCAGCTGTACATTTGGCTCCCTAGTTTTCCTTTTCTTAAATCAGCAGCTACAAGTGCATCAGTGCAGATTTTTTCTGTATTTTGCTCTTTGTGTACATCACAGAAACTGTATAAGCAGTGTTTTGCATCAAAGGTTTATTCAATTAAATTTTATTTTATTTATATAACGCCAAATCACAACATCAGTCGCTTCAGGGCGCTTTATATTGTAAGGCAGACCCTACACTAATACATACAGAGAAAATCCCAACAATCATATGACCCCCTATGAGCAAGCACTTTGGCGACAGCGGGAAGGAAAAACTCCCTTTTAACAGGAAGAAACCTCCGGCAGCACCAGGCTCAGGGAGGGGCGGGGCCATCTGCTGCGACCGGTTGGGGTGACAGAAGGAAGACAGGATAAAGACATGCTGTGGAAGAGAGACAGAGATTAATAACAATGCAGAGAGGTCTGTTGACTAAGGACTTTAATACTAATACAAATACTACAAATACAAATACTATGACATATACATGTATATGAATCACAAAAGTCTCCAATCTTCTACTATAACTTCTGTTATAGTTGATAGTTGTCAGACTTGATCAGAGTAACAGTTGTAGCCATTTTAATGTTTTTTTCAGATTGACCTTCTGGTTAAAAACATGATTTTTTTTTGGTACAAATTTGTTAACATTTCTGTGGTGTAGCCATTATCAGTATATGCTGTGTGTTAGTGGAGATCGTGAATGTTGAGGCTACATGTGGTACATGCACACATTTTCTTTCATGTGCAAGCAAAAGCATAAGGGAAGAGGAGAGAGACACGGAGAGAGGTCTGCTTACTCTTTTGCATTGCTAATGTGTTTCACCTTTGTGTGGTTGAGTGCACAGCTAATTCATGGTAGAGGGACTGGTGTGGGTCAGAGCACAGGAACTAACTCAGGCTTAGTCACAGCACTCTGTCTACTGGCCATGTTGTGACTCACCATTCCTTAGCACACTCTGGGTGTTCACTCCTCCACACACATACATAACACCCCAGAATATATTAGTACATTACATGGATGGAAAGGGACTCTCAAGACAATCATTCTGACACATTATTGCACAAGTTCACACACAGGTAGAAACGTTCACACAGCTCCCTGCTGTTGATTCCGGTCATCTATAATGATGTTCATTTGAAGATGTGTGTGGGAAACAGTCAATAACATCTGCATTGGTTTGAAAAGTGACTTTCTGCATGTATATGGATGACGTTCCAAACGTCAGGGTACCTCTCATCACTTCCTGTCTACTAACGTCTTCTACTTCATGTACAGCAGAGAAGTCAGAATATTGTTGTTGTGGTTACATAAAATGATATTTGACCAGTTGGTTCTTCCATAATATATGCACTGATTAGAGAGCTTCCTGCTATACATTGAATGTAGTTTAAGTTGTGTAATGTATTATACAGTTTGCTGCCTTCATAGCCCTTTATCTCTAAAGCTTGCAGAATAATAGACCTTAGTTATAGGCCTTCAGGGAGGCATAAAACATTAATGCACATGAGTCATCTCTCTGTTTGGGCAAAAAAATAAGATGGCTTTTTACAGGGTGTGTGTAGTAACAATGGTTCTTTGCAGAATACTGTTCAACCAGTTCAAACTGCAAGTCATTCTCCTTTCAGCTTAACAAAAAAGCATGTTTGAGACCTTCAAACACCCTGGTGGATATTGAGTGAGAAAGAGAGCTGCTTCCTCTTAGCTATGTGTGATACATCTACATGTCATTGTAGTTTCTCCCCAATTACCCAAACAATTTGCAGCAGTAGAAACATATTCACAACAAAAGATTTTTTTAACTTACTTTACAAGATAATGTTCACACTAATATTACAAAATTGTACAAGTTTGTAAAATTTGAAGCTTGTACTTTTATAAAATGGAATTACAAGAAGCTAAATGCTAATGCTAGCCTCAGATCAGCTGAAACACTCAGTTTATTTAAATCCAGGTTGAAGACTCACTTATTCTCAGCTGCATTTGAATAAAGCACCAAATCCACACTTTTAAGCTTAAATTTCAAAACTTACATTTTAACTACTGATTTTATCTGTTTTGATTTTATATACTGTTTTGTTTGTTTGTTTGTTTGCTTGTTTTAATCAATTTTAAATCATGCTTTTTATTTGTTTTTGTTTCTAATGTCTCTGTAAAGCACTTTGAATCACCTTGCTGTTGAATTGTGCTATACAAATAAACTTGCCTTGCCTTGCCTATATCAGAAATAAATGTCCCAAGAACTAAGCTCCCAAAACGTTGATTCTGTTCATCTAGATGTACCGTTTTCAGTAGGAGAAATGTTTAGTTACTCATTCAAGTGTCTTACCTGGATGATTGAGCATGCAATCAATTGTACACTATACTTTATCCACTTAGTGTAAAAGATTATTTTTTGCAGCTGTCTTTTTCATTCTATACTATGAGGGGTGAGGTACACCCTGAATAGGTCGCCAGCCTATCTCAAGGTCAACACTAGAATACCAGTAAAACCTAAAAAGAAACAAATATGTCTAGAACCCAAACAATAACATCAGCCAGCTAACTTAGCAAAGTACACAAAAAATATGGAAATTTAATTCTCTCTAAAAACTGTTGGATATATTGTCCAGAGAAAGAATGGATCTGATTTGATAATATTTTTAGATCAAAGATAGATTTCAAAAAGAAACGTTGCTTTCCTTATTTTGAATGTTGATCCAACCATGGTGATCTCCCTTGCAGTATTGAGGGTTGTACAATGAAGAAAGATTAATGGGTTAAGTGTGCTACGTCAAGCACAAACTCAGAGTGTTTTGGGCCACAAACATTTCTCTCTTATCACCTCGCTAAATCACCACGGTAACGTATGCTGAAAACTTGACTTTTGGTTTGAAATTGGCTAAAAGTCTTTCGACTGATTCTTTATTTACATGTTTTAGGTGCAGTAGAGATTTGCTCTTGTATTAATGTGTTGTTACCTTACTAATGTCACGTCCAGCTGTAAAGTGACAACAGTGCAAACCACATCACATTGTCACTTGAATCCACATGAACTCCACTGATGATGCAGAAAAGGTAAAAATGTTTTTAAACTTGGTTCAAAGTCTGTTTTATACTGCTGCACACATACCAAGAATACCTCTTCAACCAATAAAATGAATTTCACTTTGATCGGTGACAAAATAAACTGATTTCCACGTCTCCTTTATCAGTGTATGGCATGTTATGCATTAATGTTTAAATGCATCCAGTTTAAGGTGTCACAGCTCTAATGTGTGGCTGTCACCTTAGAAATAACTCAGTGTTTAAATAATTAACTGGAATTTAAATATTTATTTTCTGTTCTTCGCACTAAATCCCCAAATTAATGATTTTCTGCAGCATTAAATACTCGTGTTTTTTGCAGCAATGTTGAATTTTATTTTCTTTGCTTATCCAAGTCATGGTCACGGAGGGGCTGGAAACAAGTCCAGCTGCTGGGCCGAGAGGTAGTGTACACCCTGGTAAGTCCTTTAAGTCTGTGATGCCAGTGTGTTACATTTACTGTTATTTTTCTAATGTTCTTCATAGCTTTTTATCACTGTTGTGCATTATGTCAGGAGTAGGCGGCACTTATAGGCATCTTTTTATGCAGAAGAAGAGTCATATGGCACGTGATCCGCCCCTTTGGGCGTGAACAGAGTCTGAAGCACAAAGCCTGACTTAACCATGAAAATTGATAAACACTGTCATGATACCTGTTAGCTCTGACTTGGGTTTTAGGTTTTGTCAATCCAGCTAATGCAAATAAAGCTTGGCTGTGTTGAGCTTCCAATGTAGTATTCCCCTCATGTCAGTTAACAAGCTGAGAGCTAATAACACACATAACGCACAATAAACTACCATAAGAAACGAGAGGACATCTGACAAATATTTTATTATTAACTTCTCACATGACAAGTAGGTTTTTAACCTGAATAAACAGGTTTTGGCATTATTACATAATGTTTAACATGTTAGTAGTTTTACTTCTATGAATATTTTAATGGGCTGTTTTGATTCACCAGCCTTCACATGTGAGAAAACATTAGGAAGGATTTCTAAAACCGGCATAATTGGAGGGAAAAACAATCACATATTTGAAAGTTAAAACTGGTACAAATCACAGTTGAGCTCTTCACTTTGCCCTCGTTTGTGATACGAAGTCTGAAGAGCGAACAAAGAGTTTGTCTGGGGAGGTTTCTTAGATAAATCTGAGCATCCAGCATCTAAAATGATTATAACAGGTTCCCTTTAAAACACCACCGTTTGGGTTGAATATTTATATTTTATGCTTGGTAATAGTGTTTCTACAGCAAGTGCTGAACCAAACCTGAAGCACATGCATAAATTCACCTTGATAAATTTGCTGTTTTATTACTTGTGCACATCTCATGTACAAAGAATATTTAATACATTTAACTTCATATGGTCTGGTTTCAGTAATCAGGGATAAGGAACTGTGCACGGGCAGGCTGTGAGGAGTTACTTTAATATCTTCATCACAAGCTCCCATCTCTTGGCTCTCGCTGGGCCACATGGTGAAAATAAACTGTCACCGGTGACAAAATTAGAATCAGATGAAAGAAATTTCACAGCACACAAGAGCAGGATGTGATGAATGGAGTCCACTGTATTATAACAGAGTGGAAGAGACCAGACTGAGCTTCAAAGGAGCCCTTGTGAGAATGCAGCTGAGCGGAGAAATGCCATCTCATCATCCTACTTTGTTACGAATGACAGTGAAACAAAAGGAGGATTTTGCTCTCCATATCAGCTCACCTTCTTCTTGTCTTTCTGTGCCGGAGGGAGCAGGGCCCTTGAGCGTTCGGCAATTTTCTGTAAGAGGAGCATATGAAGAGACAGGGTCAAGGACTCTCACAACAAGTAGCACAAATGTGACTTTGTATCTGTGGAACAGCATCTCTTTAGTTCTCTTTTCAGTAAAATTAAATGGCCATAGCATCAATTTCAGGTGTCAAAGGAGTGCATTCAACATGCAAATACCTTCTGGAGATCCCCATATCGCTGCACAGACTCAGAGAGCTCAGTCTTTAGTCTGGTCAGTCGCAGACGGTCTTGCTGTGCAACAAAACAGAATTAGATTCAATTAGCTCAAATGTTGTTTAATCTACTGTTTATTCTTCAAACTAATATTCAGTGAGGGAGGAAAGGGAGCATAAAATACCCGTGAAGAGCCACTGATTATATCAGAGAGCTGTTTGATGAGTTGGCTTGTGCTGGTGATGACTTTGTTGGTTTGCTGCTGAGTGGAGTGCCTGGAAAAAAAACATGGTGTGAAAACAAAAAGAGAAGACATTAGATATGCCAATACTGTATTACTATAATAATATATGACCAGAGAATGTGTGTGTCTATAAATCTATATTTGATTTTGAAAGTGCTACTACACCAATTTGATGGTTGTTAAGAAGGATTTTATTTTAAATACCTCTGCCAAATACGAATCACAACACACGATTATCAGATAAGACGTCTGTGTAATATGAACAGGGAAGTGTCAGATAATCCAACACAGTCTCATTGTGGACTATTACTACTCTGCGTAGTGTCCACGTAAGGTCCTTTCTGGTCCAGGAAAAGCAGGACTGTTCCATTTAGAACAGCAAGGACCCAAGTACTGCAAACAGTCTTGTGTTTCTCTCGCTCTTTCTCACGCTTTGTGTATATGTATATGTTTGTGTGTATGTGTCCACGCGCCAAACCGCAAGAGTCAAGACTAAATTACTCCCCTAACCATAATCCAATGAATGCAGTGATGGTGACTACATCTATCATCTACACAGATTATGGTTCACCGTATTTAGTCTCTTATAAATCAAACAGTAAATACTGAGTAATATATCTTACTGCAGATACATCCTCATCTTGGAGTAGCCCAAGCTATGGATGGATGGATGCTCCTGCTGCCAGCTTTGAAAATTGTGACTCTAAATACCTAAACAAAGTATTTAAAGGCAGATATTCTTGAGGCAGAAGAAAACTTGTTTTCCCCAAAAAAATAAATTACAACAAAAGCTAACCCTTTTGACTAACTCTTCTGGGACTTTGAGCAACCTTACCCTCAGGTATGTGTGGGTTGAGATTACATTTGACCAGTGGAGAGACTGACTATTACCAGCACTATGATAGAGGTGAAGAGTGTAAAAGCCAAATCCTCTCTGTTCTTTCATGATTTTTCCCTTCAAGCCCCGCTGGGGTGTAAGGTTGAAAGTGCAGCCATATTCATAACTCTGCAGCACATCCGCTGGAAGGCCAGGTTAAGTCAGTTATTAAATATCTAAGCTGTCAGGTCATCCTGGGCTTACACACACCCTGAACTTCCATCCTCCAAACCTGACACTATAACAGGCTGCCCCACAGAGATAGGGAGCTCCACAAACACACCTCTGTTGCAGCTACTCAAATATTGATCTACATAAAGCTGGTGGAAGGACGGGTGGACAAGCAGGTTCCAGTGGACTAGCCCGGAAGGAGCATGTCACTGTCTGTTGTGAGAAAAACCAAAGTGTCACGGGGGGACGTCTGAAAAACACCAGCTATTATCTGTGTGGAACAGGGTTAAAGACGGTTATAAAGCCATGGAAGTTAGAAGAGGTTGAAGTTAGTTTTGCTGCTTAAAATAAAAGTTTTACTGTAAAGAAATAATTAAATTGGACTGCAGCCAACTTCTCCTGACCAAAGTCGTAATAAAGAAGAATTGTTTCTGTGCAGAGGTTTCATATTTATTTTTTAATCAAGATTTAAGACTTTAACCTCTTAACACCTGTCCAATCACCAGTTAACCACTTAAGGGCAAGGTCACATGGTAAAAAAGCACAGTTTAAAGGGATTTTACATCCAGTAAAACTGGCCTTCTCTTTTCTCCTTACTTCCATGTATGCCAGACAATGAGTTTAATACTAATACAAATACTACAAATACAAATACTACAACATATATATGTATATGAATCACAAAAGTCTCCAATCTATAACTTCTGTTATAGTTGATAGTTGTCAGACTTGATCAGAGTAACAGTTGTAGCCATTTTAATGTTTTTTTTTTTTCAGATTGACCTTCTGGTTAAAAACATGAATTTGTTTTAACCCAGCCAGAATTCTGGCTCCCACTGATTGGGATTACAATCGATCAATCAATGAATCAATTACAAATGCTCCTGATTTCTCCTGATGTGTTTAAAGTATACCATAGTCAATAAGAACACCATTGGTAACACACATACGTTGTAATGAAATCTTGCAACTGCCTCAAGGTCCCCCTACTCAAGATGGCACATGTACAGGCTCGTTTAAGTTTGCCAGTGAACATCTAAACAATTCATAGAACGCCTGGGAGAAAGTGCGTTCGTCAGATGGAACCAAAATCAACTCTTTGGTATCAACTGATCAAGTGTCAAATCAGTCACCTCAAGGCTCATTATACTGTAAGCTACAATAATCAAGTAAAAAACCCAACAGTCAGACAACCACCTGTGAGCAAGCACTTGGTAAATTGGGAATAAAAAACTAATTTTAACAGGAAGAAACCTTCAGCAGAACCAGACTCCGAGTCTGACCAGGTGGGGGTGAGGGGAGAAAGACAAAAAAAAAATAAATAAAAAACTTTTATGTAATGTGTTTCTTTTGGATTTTTGGTTGATATCCTTTCTCCCTCCATTTAAATGAAACGACCATAAAAAATTACAGACTGTTCAGTTTTACATATAACATACAAATTCACCATGGAATCAAATGATTTCCCCTCCTGTATAAAATCACAGATTTCTAAGTTTTGGTATTGATTTTTCTATATGATCAGCCATAACAGTCGGCTGCATGATTAGAATGCTCAGACAGAGTGCACATACACAGACACACTCACAGATACACGCACATATAAAAAAAGATTAAGAAATGCTAAACTTCACCCTGATGCATCATCATTTAGCCATAAGGCAGCAAAAGACGTGAAGGATTAGTTTAAAATCACATCCAGCTAATGCTCTGTCATGTTAGCCACTAAGGTGACACAGCAGAGTTGTATGGCTGGTACATAAGGGATCTTAAGGAATGAGAAAAAATCTTTGCAGTTGTGTACTTTGCACTGTACATTCCCCATTGATTTTATACTGCACTTACATACAATACGAAACACATTTAAAAATGAGCAGCAACAGCAACATGACATGGAACCTGTATTCTTTCTTTAATTCTATCCTTAATTTCCTCTGCTAGAAATGTATAGTCCAAATCCAGTCATAAGAATTTGATCAGCTTTCAACTGCTAAACAGTACTGTTCATGAAACTGGACATTACCCACTCTAATGCTAACCCCACTCACCATAGATATCAGTATATTGCCACTAAGAATCATGCCCTCAGTTGTCGCCTTTGCACATTGTACTAATAAGCTTAGAAGTGCTTAGCTTCAATTGGAAAAAATATGTCCTTGAACATAAAGACATTCTCTAGATTTCAAATCATCTCCAAATCAAACCAGTGGATAATAATGTGCTCACTTTCTGGGTACATCTTGTACGAATTTGAGATGTCCTCCATCTAGAATGTAATGATGGTGTTTGGAAAAGTGCCTTCTGAGCCACATGATATTTACTAATTTCCGTACTGAATGCAGGTGCAAATTACCACCAAGACAGTGGGTGGCAATGCCATAGCTTTCCTAATCGGCTTTTAGAGTACATATACATCCCACTTCCAATCAGGTAATGGTAAAGTCTGAATCTAATTGGTGCAAATAGTATTATAATCAGTAAAATACAAAATATTACAATTAATCAATTTAACATAAGAAGGCACAACTAATATATACACATGGTGTATATATTAGAGAGCTCTTTGTGCCAATAAGAAAAAAATATAAATAAATGAAAATCTCTGACAGAAGTAACAAATCTATCGCACAAGCTGTCAGAGTGTCAAGACAATCTCACTAGCAAAAAATATGTCACACAAAGTAAAAAGTAATTTTGTGTGTGTGTCGCACTGGCTGAAGACTTTTATGTGGTGAAATACAGTGGTCTATGTCTTCATATATCCTTGTGTTTATACATCTCATCACATTAGAACATATACAGAAAAAAGACAAAAAAAGTTTGTTTTTTAAAGGTTAAATTGGGCAAGATGCTAAATTAGCATATTTAGCATGAGGCTAAACCAAATCTATAGCATAGATAGGTCAATGCTGACCTTTTTGTAAGTTGCAGTGTGTGAAATTTCACCACTACATGTCAGTAGATTGCAGATTCCAACCAAATTACTTCTATTTTCTGACCCCTCCCAATTCAAGTAAATAATCCCAGCGACAGTGGCTGCCTTAAGACAATCATGCTTTAGTCAGGAATGATCAGAAACATTGAATTTAGACTGCACCCCACAACAACAGTAGCTGACATGTTTCTACTACTACTGAAATAGATCCAGATCTTCCCCGGAGTTTTTCACCATCTGTAGAAGGCCACTTTTTACCTCAGTTCTCAATGACAGGTGAGAAATGTCCATGTCTATTTACTCTGGAAGAGTAAAGCTTTGAGAAAGGAGTCTGATATAGGTTGATAAATCAATGAAGATCTACAAGTTCTGAAATTCCCATGCTTCTAAATATCCCACAGTCAACTGTTACCATATTTTTCAGACCATAAGGCGCACTGTCGATAAACGGGTCTGTTGTCATACATAAGGCGCACCAGATTATAAGGCGCATTAAGCAAAACAAAGTCAGATAAGTCAAACTTTACTCAACTCATTTACTTGCTTCCTCTTCCATACCACTGATTCATTAATGCTGAATTCTCTCCAGCGGCTCTATTCCCATGTTGTTGCAGTATTGATGACTAATGATTAATGATTAATGACCAGTGTTGGGTAAGTTACTTTAAATTAGTAACTTAGTTACATTACTAGTTACTTCTATCAAAAGTAACTC